GTATCTAAACCTTTTGGTGCTTTAATCGATTCATCAAGAAATATGTTGACCCATTCAGTGCATTTCGTACCCTTAATTGTGAGGTTTCGAAAATCAGGCCGTATTTTGACTTTATACGTTTTAGATCCCCTCTATCACTCAGTTACAATGTTGAATAATTTCTATAACTTGTAGAACTTTTCATGCTCTTTAAGAACAGATTTCGTAGAAGTCCGTCCTATCTTAGCATGTATAGAAATTTCAATGCTATTGGTCCAACTGATTCTTATAACCTCCACCTTGGAAAGGAGGGCATATTAAATTTTTCATTCCGTTTGTAATACCTATAAATATTTGTAATATAATAATAATAATAATATAAAGTCTGTCTGTTTGTTGAAATCACGATACATTCCAATTTTTTTACGTAGAGCTTTGGCACAATAGTTTGTATTGTCTCTAGGATGGTTGGTGTTGAAAATGAGATATTTAGGGCCACGTTTTTCAGTAGCGATAATCGGTATTTTGATAATTTTAGACCCAACGGAATTGGTATAAAGAGTTTGTGACGGGTTGTATCTCTGGCGACTGAACATAGTCTGTATAGGCCCATGTTTTAACATAGTATTCATAAAACACCCTTCGAATATTGGGTATTTTCAGTTTGGGTAATTGAAGACAGATTTTCTAACAAAATTGTTGAAAATTTTGCATTTGTAGGTCGTAATTGGGATCTCCTGATGAAGAACATTGCCCATATATAGGTTCACGATTTCCTATATCCCCCATGCAATGGGGGTATTCTATATTTTGGTCATTTTTCGCCTTCATATCTCAATTCCATATACCAACGCATTTCAGGATTTCAGCCTTATCTCATCACCAAATTTCAAATTTAATACCGTTTAGGACAAATTTCCACCCCCCAAATCTCAAACCCAGATACCATCAATAATATAAATATCAAATTTCAGATCTTTTTGTACAATTATAGTACATATTTCCGAAACCACCTCCATATGTCCAGGCTACACATGAACATCGACCCCAATAACAAATTGCAGATTTAAAACACTATATGTTCCACCAATACTCAATTGTGCCAAATATAGTACTATTTAGTACTTTTCGTGCACTTGTTGTACACATTTCTAAAACCACCTCTTTATCACAAACAATTTCAAAATTTCAGTTTCACCCTTCCGCCCTTAACCAACTGTTCCAAATTAAGTACCAATTAGTACGGTTGGCACACTTGGTACACCTTTCCAATACCAGCTTCATGTACAAAACTTACTTTCCAACCTTGATTCTCATACCAAATTTCAAGTATCAAGGATAGAGTTATCTGCTCAGATAATACCAAATGGTACCATTTTAGAACTTTTCGTTAACTTATAGTTCGAATTTTCAAATACCCTATGGTGCATCTATCTCGCGCTTCATCAGTGTCTCTCATTCCAGATTTCTAATTCATTCCAATACAAAGTATACAAATTTTAGTACTTTTCGTACCCTTTTAGCACGAGTTGCCAAAAATCACGCATTCAGGCAGTCAGTTTGTATTCATTGAAATTTGATTTTAAAAATCGTATATATTTGGTAATACTAAATTCGAAGGAGTAGCATGGGGTCACTTCTGGTGTCAAGGGGTGGCTAATTGCAGTTTGTATAACAATGAGCAGTACTTAATACCATACATGGCCTGTCAGAAAGTGTGAGGTATATGACATACCTAGACAAATAATAAGAGTTTTTGAGAGAGCACCATGATAGATATTTTCCAAGCTTATTACATCAATTATCGGATATATCGGTCCATACATTTCATAAATAGCAACCTTCTGTTTGTGAGCAGCAGGGAGTAAAGCTGGAACGACAAGCAATAAAAAACTTTTTTTATAAAAAGAATAACGGTCTTAAGTCTGGCTATTTTACTACAAGAAAATGCAGGTACACAATTCATATTCTCTGAAAATCTGAAATGAAAACTTTAAAAAATAGATTGGATCATATTCTTAAAAAAAAATTCAGATATTTCACGCATATTTCTCGCTATTTAACTCATTTTAAAACCAGTAAAGAAAGTGTTAAAGTCGGGCAGACCGAATTTATGATACCCTACACCACTTTACTAATTTATTAGAGCTCCACATAACAATTAAAAGCTTTTATTGGAGAATTAAATTGTACAAGCTATGATTATAATTATAATTTAAAGTTCAAAGGACTAAATATGACGAGACATTTGTATCTTTTAAGTTCGGGCTTGTATTATCCATTTGGTACACAATTAACTTGAAATCGGATAAAGATGTATATGGGAACTATATCCAACCCATCTCGATAAAATTTGCAAAGATATTTCTGAGCTGTATCTGATATATTTCCCTGAATATCGTTGTTACGGAGTGCCTATTACGGCTGTGGGGAACAAATACAACAAATCGGATGATCGATATATATGGGAGCTAGTGCTATATCTGAACAGATCTACCTAATTTATTACAATAGCTTCTACACTCAATTCGGTAGTAAGTGCCATATTCCATCACATTTGCGTTAATATTACACGTTTAAAGCACAACAAGTAAAAAACATTAAGTTCGGCCGGGCCAAACTTTTAATACCCTCCACCTTAGGGTAAAGGAAACATTAGAAGAAATGTGGCAAAGCCATTAAAATGCCGAATATCGGGAGGTACCGTTATATGTGGGCTCTACCAAATCGTGGACCTACACATGCAAGGTTCCGCCAACGGAGCTAGAACCCATTATGACCTACAAATACCAATTTTCAGACAAATACGTGAAAAAAGGGGCAAAAATCATCAAATTACCGAATATCGGGAGGTACCGTTATATGGGGGCTATACTAAAACGTGGACCTATAATTACAATGACTCGCCACACGAACTGGGACCCATTATGATCTACAACTACCAAATTTTCAGTGAAATTCGTGAAAAAATCAGTCAAAAATCATCAAAATACCGAATATTGGGAGCTACCGTTATATGGGGACTATACCAAAACGTGGACCTATACATACAATGTTTCGCCACACGAACTAGGACCCATTATGACTCACAAATACCAATTTTTAGACAAATCAGTGAAAAAATTTTGCAAAAACCATCAAAATACCGAATATCGGGAGGTACCGTTATATGGGGGCTATACCAAATCATGGACCCATACATGCAATGTTTCGCCACCGGAGCTGGAACTCATTATGACCAACAAATACCAATTTTTAGACAAATCCGTTAAAAACTGTGGCAAAAATAATCAAAATATCGAATATCGGGAGGTACCATTATATGAAGGCTATACCAAAACGTGGACCTATACATGCTATGTTTTGCCACACATACAGGGACCCGTTATGACCTACAAATACCAATTTTCAGACAAATCCGTTAAATAATGTGGCATAAATCATCAAAATACCGAATATCGGGAGGTACCGTTATATGGGGACTATACCAGAACGTGGACCGATATATCTTATTTTCAATACCAACCATCCTAGACACAATACCAATTGCTCTGCTAAATTTTGGCGCTCTACGTCAAATAATGTGGGCTGTATCGTGATTTCAACAGTCAGACAGACGGACAGACAGACAGACAGACAGACAGACAGACGGACATCGTTAAATCGACTTAGAATTTTATGCTGATTATGAATATATATACTTTATGGGGTCTACGACGAATATTTAAGGATGTTACAAACGGAATGACAAAGTTAATATACCCTCCTTTCCAAGGTGGAGGGTATAAAAAAAGCAAATCGGACAAAGTGATGTTCAATTCAAAAGGTTATCATAACTGTTGATTCGATTCAGCATTAAATGGAAGTAATATTTTTACATCATCCTCATAACGTATAACGTTAGGCAAGTCGTTTATAAATGATGTAAAGAGATCAGGTTCAAGATGGCTTCATTGAGGTACACCAGAACTTACATGAATTTTGTTTGAAAAAAAACCATGCTATGCAACTTAAATAAAAATAACTTATGGTTTACTTTAGTCTAACAGAGCCTTTTTGGTCGTTTAAACCTGATTATACTTGATTTTGTACAGTATTTCTTAACCCACTCAATAAAAGCTAATACCAATAGTAAACAAATCACTACAAATGTATCCTTGTGCCGTCATATCGGAAAGAAGAAATCGTTGATACAACATTCAGTTCTTGTTTATTTGAAAGTTTTTTATGGGTTTCTTCGCGAGTTAGTTTTTTTTCGGTAGATAAAGGTAATTTATCATTTCGAAGTTATTTTGTTGTTACCTCCAAAAAATATAAAAATACATATATTTTGACTATATACATACACAGTAAACACAAACATGTGTACTTTTATGTTTTTGTAGATGAATGGATTTTCCAAGCAAGTAGAGTGAGGGAGAAAGCTTATCATTCTACTCCTAGTACTAGGCCAGGTTGAACGTGAATACGAAAATCATGCATGCCATCCGTACCATCGATAAAACAATATGAAAATTACTACAACAACAATAGCACAAATTTAGTATTTTATTGTAATAACAAAATAACAACAAAAATTAAGAATAATTTTCTTTTGTAAACAATTCATAAACAACGACAACAACAAAAACTTTATCAGGCAATGTAATTCTTTTGGAGTAGAACTTTGCAAAAAAAAAGTTGTGTTGAAGGCGAATGACAGAGAACTTTTTTCGCCTGAAACTCAATTGCAAAGGAAACGACAAACGAAACGCATCGCAATAATTAAATCCTCCACGTAGTTTTCCGAATTATATTGTTAATTCAGAAAAATTACATAATTAGCGGAAAATAATAAATATTCGGAAAAAAGGAAAATAGCGTGCTACCGGGTCATCATGCAATTAATTATTACGGCTGATACGAATTTACTATTTGTAATACTTATTTCTTATTGATTGATTGATTGATTGATTTATGACTGAAATATTTATGGGCAATTGATTTTATTTGTTATCACGTGTTTTTTTATTTTCATATAGGAACGCAACGGCCCCGGAACCCCCAGTTCCCCAGCCAAAACTCCAACTTCGGTAACATCCAAACCCGAGAAATCGGCAGCATCACGCCCACCCAGCACTACACCATCCAATAAATCATCCAAATCTCGCAGTACTTCACGAAATCGCATTGCATTGAAGACCCCAGAACCGGAACCAGTTAAAAAAGGTAAGACCTTGTCATAGATTTTAGAGGGTTTTAAGAAAAACAAAGTGGAGTGTGACAAGGATTTTGTTAGAAAACTTTGAAAAGAAAAATCTTATGAGAAATTCTTTAATTCACGGATTGTAGTATATAACACTCCAGCCAAATTTTCCGATCCCATTATATTGGTAGTTTATTTGCATTATATTTTAATGGAATACTTGGTTTATATGGCTCCGTAATTTAGGCAGTGTTCTTGGAAATATGTACTAAAAAGTTCGAAAAGTACTAAGTGGGAAGAGATAGAGCTAGAAATCTGAAATTTGTAATGAGGGTCTTTGAGGTTGTGAAACATTGATGAACCAACGTTTTTATGGAAATTCAAAATATACTAAATGTACTAAAATGGACTAAATTTGGATAAAGGTAAGGTAAGAAATTTGTATGAAAGCCAAGTTTAAGAAGTAGGGTTAATATAAAGAGGTGGATTTGGAAATGTGTATTACGTGTTAGTAGAACTCTTAAATGGTACAAACTTTGACAAAATTTAAATTAGTTAATGGAAAAAGAAGAAATGCTAAAAGTTAGTATAGAAAGAGGTATTATGGCAAATGTGTACATCAAGTGTACGAAAAGTACTTAATGGTACAAAATTTGATAAAAAGACAAGGAAAAGAGCTAGTATTGTTCATGTTGGTATTAAGATCACTGCGAAATACATTCAGTTTTTACAAAGGCAGAAACATAACAGCTGCATATACTTATGCCCCTTCTTAAAAATTTATTTGGCAATACGATTTTATTCGACTATTTGAATTTATCATATGTATGGTAGCTATTTTCGATGTGTATTGAAATTAGTCGTTTAATTTATAACCTGAAACTAAAAATAGTGGCCTTTTATAAAATGCAATCTATTTTGAGTAAAAAATCACTGATAAATTAACGTAATATAAATCCCTATTTTTGCATACGAAGTAGCAGACATTCTAGCCTAATTCTAATTTCTCTAAGAACCGAAACATCACATCTACTCAGTTCCAAGTTATCAGATTTGGAAAATTCTCCAAAAATGCATGCTATATCTGACAAGAAAAATAGCATGACTTTGAAATCTGCATTGAAGTCATATTTTAAATAAATTAAAATGTAGATCCAATGTTCCATTAAATTGCAATTATATCATAAATATCAAAAGACAAATTATTTTGCTCACCACAAACTGGAACAGTTTTGGACTAGATTTTTAACAAAATCGTCTTCCAAAGTCCTTGTTAAGGGATTTTTTTGAGACTTGACAGCAGCAACATCATCCTGGATGTTAAAATTATTCACTAAAAATATTGAAAAACAAGATAGCGTCGCTTCGACTTTTGGAAAATATTTAAAGGTTCAACAGTCAAATATAAAGTTAATTTTTTCACAATTTATAAGTCAATATTTGTTTTTAAATTTTGATAATGTTTTCTCTATTCTATCAATTCTCTTCAAGGTACATTTATAAGGTACCGATCAATGTATGTATTTCAAAATTACAGCAATTCGTTAAAAAATCATTTTTTTTTCATAAAATTGGCTAAGGAAATTGATTCCATGGCATAATTACAGAAATCAATTTTTATACCCTCCACCATAGTATGGAGGGTATATTAAGTTTGTCATTCCGTTTGTAACACCTCGAAATATACATTTTAGATCCCACAAAGTATATATATTCTTGATCAGCATAAAATTCTATGTTGATTTACCGATGTCCTTCCAGATGAGAGAAAAGTGTCTATGCATGTCCAGGGCCTCAATTCTTGTTCTATGAAAATGTGAAATGAAAACTTTTATAGAGGAAAGAAATGTCAAATGAAAAATATTATCAAGGAAATATTTTTCATTTCATATTTTCATAGAACAAGAATCCAGCCCCAGGTCTTCGTATATTTCCCATATATCAGTACCTCCATATATTCGGTATTTTGATGATTTTAAATACAATATTCACCGAAATTGTTTGGAATTTGGTATTTGAAGTTCCTAATAGGTACTACAGAAAATTGTCTATGTAGGTCCAGGTCTTCGTATAGCCCCGATACAACGGATCCTCTCTATATTCGGCATTTTGATGATTTTAGCTACATAATTCACAGGATTTTTTGTTCATTTTTCGTATTTCAATACTATAATGGCTTATGACAAAAGTTGCCTATGCAGGTCCACGTCTTCTTATAGACCCCAATATAACGGATATACTCGGTATTTTCCAGATTTTAACATAATTTTTAACGGATTTTATTTTTGTGAAAATTTTAAAATTCGTTCCGACCTTACTGCATTTTTACTTGTTTTTTTTTTTTTTTTTTAATTTTCAATACCAAACATCTTTGGAGTATCACAAATATAAATTTATCTTTATTATTGTGACTCCTATCTTCATTTAATTTCATCATAAAATCTACTAAGAATTTTATGCTCTTCATCAAATATTTCGAGCTGGCGAAAACGAAATGGCAAAGTAAAAACTATCCATCATACGTTGCATACGTTCGGGCTCGCCTAATAACATAACCAACCTTTAAGTTCGCCCTTGGCGAACTTTTTATGCCTTCCATCTTGTGAAATCTTATATTAACAATTTAAAACTGTCAATAAGGAAGAGGTGTTCTAATTCGAATTGTATTGAAAGACTATTGAAATTATTTTTTTTAAATACCTAAACCTTAACAAATAGGGAAACTAACATAGTTTTATTTTACTAATTTTTTATTGTTTTATGTCTTCCTATTAATTCCCAATATAATTTTCTTACAGTTCCAATGAATAAAATTCAAGTTGGACACGCTCCTTCACCTAATTTGAAGGCCGTACGCTCCAAAATTGGATCTCTTGACAATGCCAGCTACAAGCCAGGTGGCGGCAATGTTAAAATCGAAACGAAGAAAATTGAAATCAAGGCAGCACCCAAAATTGAAGCTAAAAATGATAAATACACACCAAGGGGTGGAGAAAAGAAGGTAATTAGTTTTATTTCCATTATAAAATTTATTCTTCATTACATTTTCAAATGCGCTTTCAAAATATGGAGAAACGAAATTTGATTTGTTATCTATGAGGTTAGGAAAGCCAATGTCATAAATGCCGAAAACCATTCAAGATAACAATCAAAAGTTTGTATTCCCCCAAACCTTAATTGGAAGCCTATAATGATAATGACGATCAAAGAAAATTTATAAAGTATAAAAAAGAGGAAAAACAAAAGGTTTTGTAGCCTCACAACGTGTAGTACATTGTTGCAATATTTGAGCTTTTACTGACCCTTATTTTGTAATTTGTGTACAGCGCGAATATAGCACCGCCTTTTTTCTGTTGAAAGTAACTGCAAAGAAATATTGATGTCGAGTTTGTGATTTTTTATGATTTTCAATTTCACGGTTGATTAGAATTTGAGACAATAAATTTTGTAGTTTCCCCTACTTTTGTATTATTGGCTATGTCACAAAGTCTTGTTAATGAAAAAAAAAAAAAACTATACTCTCTTTTAACAGTATTCTTATTATTAAGGAGTGACTGATCATATGGATAGTGACATACAATTAATTGTTCAAAAAAAAAATTAAAAATAATTGATTTGAAATTGTATTGTCAAAAAAAAGTAAAAGGAGTTATCTAAAAAAACAGAGATTGAGAATTTATTGAGGCACTGATTGCCACGAATATTTGCAACACTATTTTATTCAGCCTAAACTTACATAGATTAAAGACATTTGACAGTCTTATATAAAGGATAATAACCAAAGGTCTCTTGGAATACAAAAGGGCTATCTATATGAAAACATCCCCATTTAAAGAAATCATTCAAAACTTAAACTGAAACTTTTAATTAAAGTGCTATATTTAAGACCTATATGTTATCCTTCTTTTCAATTCATTTATCCATTTATCAGTAAAACATTAATAACATTTGTCAAAAATTATTTTAATAAACTAAGAATTATTATTTCTGTTTAATTTTGTAACTATTTTTATAATATTTTGTATTAATATTGACACATCGACAAATCTACACACCTCTCCGTACATAGATAATTTCGACAAAATTACAATGGAACGCAAAATCGAAAATTGGTTCCCTAGAAAATGCCCACCACAAGCCGGGCGGTGGTGATAAGAAAATCGAAACAATTAAACCTGATTTCAAGGACAAGGCCAAACCCAAAGTTGGTTCCAAGGATAATGTGAAGCATGTTGCCGGTGGTGGTGACATTAAGGTGAGTCCTGGCGTTACAAGCTACATGTTTAGAAATTAAAGCCTCAGAAAACTATAATGAGCATTTAAGTTAAAATTAGTAAATACAATTAAAAATATTAAATTAATATTTGTTATTAAGCATGTTTTAAAGAATCATCAGCATGTTAAACAAAATTAAATGAAATGAAAAATAAAAAAAAATATTTTGAATATTATACACGCATGTGTCATGAGCATGTTGTTAGAAAGAATGCATGTTATTTAAGTTTATGACTTTTAAACAGAATATTTATTATTTTAGACATTATATTTCAAACTAATTATGTGCATCATATTGAATTGGCTATCAATCATAAAAAAATCATTAAAATCATAGATCCATATATAAACTAAAAATCTAATAATATAAAAATTATTATTATAAACCCAATTCAAAATAGAGAGAATATTAAAATGTATAATTTATTCGAATGCCATTTTCTATAGTAAATTACAGAATTTACTTTTAATTAGATTGTAGTTCGGTGTTTTTCACTTCTTCTGGTACCAAACTATTTTGTGTGAATCGTTTTTTAAATGTTCAAGATTAATATTTATATTTAGACCTTAATTGATTGATCTCAATGGGACAGGATGATTGAGAAGCAAAATAGAGCTAAGGAGTTGCTCTGCTTGGCCGAAAGTGGTGGACTTCCCGAATTTGGTTTTCTCCGATGAGAATACATTCGTTGTACAGCAGTTTGTAAACAAACAAAATTATCGTGTTTATTTGCCAAAGAGGTCAACTGAAAATGTGCACCTTCGGTTGGCCATCAGAACTCAAGCGCCTGCCATGGTGATGGAGTGGGCCGATGGTCGCTCTCCGCTCGTATTAATTGACCGTAGCATCAGAATAAATACCGAATATTATCGCAAAAATATTCTGGAGGGTGTATTACAACCTAAGACATGCAAACATTTTGGCCGCAGACCTTGGACATTCCAGCAGGAGCACTATCGCACTCAGCACGCCCACCCAAGAATGGTTACAAAATAAGGTTTCTCGCTTTATTTCCACCGCACAATAGCCACCAAAGGTTGGCACTAAAAAACCAAAGTGTCGATCACCTAAAGCAAGCGCTTCGCCGGGAATGGGCCAAAATACCGCAGAGCAACATTCGGACAGAGTGTGACGGTTTCATTAACCGTTTGAAGGCCATAATTCGTGCCAAAGGTGACCAATTCGAACAGATCTAAACTTATTCTAAAATTTGATGCTATTTCTGACATTTTTTGGTTTCATTCAGTAACATTTGAAAAAAAAATGTTAAAAATATGGCGTTTGACTTTGTTGCAGTTTTTTTATCTCACCCTGTATAAGTTGCCTCTTATTATAACTACTCTAAAGCTATAATACTCATTCAAAAGAAGGTTTATAGTTGGTATAGTAGTGGTGTAGGGTATAATAAAGTCGGCCCGCCCGATTTTCGCCCTTTCTTTCTTGATTTTTTTTTCTACAAAACAAGTAAATATTGGTCAGCTGATATATTTTACTGGACAAATTTCCCCAATACGAATTTGCAAACTCTCAGTAAAACAGACCCCAAAAATTGCTGGCGCTAGTAACAATTTGTGTAATTTGTTTCAACATTTTTCGTAAACGGACGCATCTAATATTAAATGTATTAATTTTTCTCATTGTCTGCTTTGACATGTTCAAAAAAATTGCAACCAAATATTTACAACTGCATTCTATTTTTTTAAGAATAACTTGGTTCAACGAAAATTGTGTTTTTAGGAAAAAGTGGTTATTTTGACATCATAATCTATGTGCCAACGACGGTATTGTCACGTGGTCTCATCGAGATTTTTGGGAAGGTTCCTATTGCTATGATATCTTCCCAACAATCCCTGTACCACACTCTTCATTATCCACAAGGAATCAGGTGAATTCAATATGGGCTACAGACAAGATCTGTTTGATTGATTCCAATCCTAAGGATTAAAATGTATTTTGTGGTTATAATTATGGGTCTATATAACCACATTATATATCCATTACTTCTCATAAGAAATATTAAATGTAGGTCTACTTCTTGGTGTAGTGCTCATATAAATGTTCCTTCTAATTTTAAAGGCCTTTTTATTGTTTCAGTTTATATTTCCTACTAAATGAATTTCTAACCAAATCAAATGCAACTTGACACTTTGTGTTCTTAGTAGCAGAGCCCAGATTTGCTTATTCTCACTCGGGAGCGAAACATGATCGCGAGCTGGATTGCTCGAAAAGTGGGAGTTTTCTACGGTGTCTACTCTTTACTATTTTGCTTTATGTGGGAACACTCTCGAGTTACTCCTGTTTGAAAAATTGGAGCGTGAGTAGAATAAGATTGATAATGAGAGGAAAAAATTGTTTTCTGATTTGTGTGTGTGTATGTTTGTAATAGCAAACAGATTTTGATGTTGCAGAATACTGTAGAAAAGAAGGAAAGAGGGGGGAGGGGGGATGAAAATACACATACATAGAAATACAACAACGGTATAACAAAAACTAAAAGAGTACACAAACTCAAGAGTAGAATCTGTTCGATTCTGAACGAAGTTTGCTGCCACTCAAAAACGAGGAAAATATGGTTGATTTTTCTGCTTCCAAGAGCGCATTCGCTCGAATTCGAGTGGGTTTCACTTTTATACAAATTCGAGCGAGTTTTTAGGGAGGCCTGGTATTTTAAACAAGTTATCACGCTCATGATAGTATTTTTAGCAATCTAGACAAAGGTTTGCTAATCTTTTGGCCTGGCTAGTTGCAACAGCTTTGTTACGTTATGTTTGTCTTTAGAAATGGCATTCAAATAATGAATTATTATAAAATAAGTTAAACTATTAATCATAAGTCTACATACATACATATGTAATCATTTAATATCATTTATCCATACATTATTCTTCAAAAAAATATTTAAAAAAATATAAAATTATATCGATGTACTTTATAAACTATGTATTTTAGTTGAAACTTTTCTTTGCCTCTGAATGATTTTTATGTTTAATTTACTCTTCTCGTTTCTTTCTAACCTAACCAAAACAAAAACCAACAACAACCACAATAAATGTTAAACAATTACTATTTTGATGATTGTTTTTAACAAATAAAAACATTACTCACACTACCATTAAAAATAAAAAACAAAATAACAAATTCAGGAATCCAATGATCAACCTAAGGATGTAAGTAGTTTAGTAAACACTCACACATTAACACATTTTTTTGGAACTCAAAATTGTGAAATATTTTGATTTTTTATTAGAGAATTTTTTAGAAGTCATTATTTTTATTATTTTTCTAAAGAAAAAAAAAACAAATTGCAACTTTTGTACTTGAATCAAGTCATCATAAACATCAAAAAACCCTGAGTTGCTTCCCCCCGAATAAATTTCAGAAAAAATACTCATTTAACACCTAAGGCACAAAAGCTGTAAATCTTGTTGAAAAGCGTTTTTTATAGATTTTTTTATATTTAACACTAAATTTCAAATTAAGTTTTTATTTAATATCGGTTTTTATCTTTCTTACTTGTATATATTTAGTCAACTATACAAACAGCAAAATTGGTTTCATAAAATAAAAACTCTTAATGACTTTTTGATTTAATCAAAAAATATGAAAAAATTAATTGCCAACCAAAAAAGTAATTTGTAATATTTTCTCTAAATATTTTCTTCTTCCTCCCCGTCGCCCCTATTTTCTGCCATGGAAATACTTTTAAACCCTGTTGTCCCGTTTAGATACAAACACAAAAAATCGAAATAAAGGCACAAAGCAAAATCGGTTCTTTGGACAATGTCAAGCACAAGCCAGGTGGTGGCGATAAGAAAATTTTCGATGACAAGGATTATTTGAAAAATATTGAACACGGCGTACCCTTGACCACACCACCGTCTCAGGTAACATAAATGTTAAAATGCTTAAAGCTTCTGTGACCATTTCGCCCTTGTCCATACTGTAATTTCAAGCTTTTTTTGGTTTGTTTTCACCCCCTAATGCATTTTTAAAACGCCGCCGTAATTTATTTTCTTGGTTTCGTTTTTGTTTCCGTCAATCCAATCCCATTTTGGAGTTTCGTTTTTTATTTCAATTTATTTTGTGATTTTTTTTGGAGTTTCGTTTTTTATTTCAATTTACTTTGTTGAATTTTTCTCAGTTTGTTTCAGTTTTTCATGTATGAACTTGTTTTTAATTTTTTCCGCAGTTTTGATTTGTTTACATTTTCCTCCTTCTCCTCCTGTATTGCCATTGTTATCCTTTCCTAAAATAAATTAAGTAAGAAATTCATTTTAATAAGAAATATTTAATATTGTAACTCAGCAAATTTATATTCAAATATTATGAATTTTTACTAGCGTCGGACAGTTGTTTCTGTTTAAATCAGGTTAACAAAATGATCACAATATTTGTTTTTTATTGTGTAACCCCATAAAATAGGCGTGTACCATAGTTTTCCCGATAGAAAATACTTAGTAATGTCTCTCTCACGTACAAATGATAGAATCAGAAAGTTAATCTAGTTCGAATATTGAATTATGTTACTTTTATTTGTTAAGGATTTATCTACCTGATGGTAGAGGGTACATAAGGTACAGCCAGGTCGAACCTTTACTTTTTTATTTCAAACCTATGGCTACATCGTTTATTGATACAGCCAAAAGGTGCATCTTCGAAATAGAAACTAGGTCTCTTTGGACCAAATCCGTTTAAGGACATTTGGAGTCGATCTAAGTTGTCCTTATTGAAGGCAATACCCAATTTGGTCCAAACTTAGTACATCGTAATATTATTGTCAAACTTAGATCGAGTTCGGAGATGGGCAACATCGATCCACTTTTTCTGGGACCGCCACAAAAGAAGCTCGTAATGTTCAAAGAAAATAATTTAACTTTTAGAAAGGATCATTCGGTTTTGTGCAAACTTTGGAAATCCTAGAGCAAGGACAGGTGTAAAAATGGACAATATCGACCGACTCCATCAAGTATATTAAATCGTATAAAGTTTGTTAAGATCGGCCCACTACTTCTCGTGCAACTCTCACAACGGGTGAAAGATTTGAGTAGCCACGAAGCTCGTAAAACGCGAAACCGATTTCATCTCAAAATATACAGCAACACAAGATCTTTTAGTAGAGGATAGATGTCGGTCTCCTCTTTCTGGTACCTTCTTTACAAAGGGTCACATTTTTGGATAATCAAAGCGATTATAAAAAGTGAATTGAGAATCCTATTCTCTTAAAATTGCATGCACCCCTATATTTCATTAACACAAGATCTGGAGTGGGGATGGGATGTATCGCTCCACTCCTTCTGGTACCTCCCACACGACTGGATAAAATTTTGAATAGCATTGAAGCACATAAAACGCATAATGAGCATCCAATTCTTTTCAAACTCCTCTCACTTCAATATCTCTATCAACACAAGATCTGTTGTGAAAATGGTAGATATCGGCCCATTCCTTCTGGGTCAAAATTTTAAAAACCAAAACGATCATAAAATGTGAATTGAGCATCCAATTCTCTTCGAATTTCATTTCAATATTTCTATTAAAACAATATCTGGTGTGGAGATGGAAATTTAGTACTTTTCGCACAACTATAGGCCGCATTTCCAAACCACTACTGAATCTCAAACACAGATACCATCACTAAATATCAGGAATTCAGAATGTTATATCTGTCCCTTCACCCAATACAAAAAGGTAGTGGCATTTTAGTCCAAATATGGGACGCATTTCCAAGCCAGCACCAAATCTCAAACACAGATACCATCAGTAATCTTTATATAAAAAATTCAGAATTTGACCTCTGTCCCTTCACCCAATACCAAATAAAGTACCATTCAGTATTATTCGTACAATTATAGTACACATTTCTGAAACTACCTCCATATGACCAGGCTACACATGAAGGGTGATCCTAAAAACAAATTTCAGATTTTTAACACTATCTGTTCACCGAATACTAAATTGTACGAAATATAGTATTATTTAGTACTTTTCATTTACTTGTAGTACACATTTCCAAAAACACCTCCATATATAAACCTTGATTCTAAATTTCAAGTTTATCGCTTTATCCGCTGAATTAATACCAAATGGTACCACTTTAAAAGTTTAGTACTATTTTAGGACTTTTCGTAACCTTAAAGTTCGAGTTTGATAAAAATGTTCCATAATGATTTGCATCATATCTAGGATGGATGGTATGAAAATTAGGTATATAGTTTCACGTTGCCGTATTTGTTGGACCAATATTGCCGATTTTGGAGAGTAAACTTATTGAATACTTCCTACAAATTGAAAGAAACTTTTATATTTTTTTATTTGGCCTTTTTATACCCTCAGTCATATGGCTAGAGAGGGTATATATCATTTGATACGGTCAAAATGTGCCTAGTCGAATTAACGGTGTTAGTCCCTAGGTCTCTTTGGACCAAATTCTTTTTAAGACATTTGGAGTCGATTTAGCGATGTCCGTCCGTTCGTCTATCTGTCTGGCTGGTGCGCATGATAACTCTCGAGGGGAATATCTGATTTGGCCCAACCTTTGTACATCGTAATATTTTTGTCAAACTTAGATCGAGTTCGGAGATGGGCAATGTCGGTCCACTTCTTCTGGCACCTTCCCCACAAAAAGTCGAAATTTTCAACAAATATTTTTTTGCACAGAAAGAGAAACGATAATCCGGGTTTGCTCCAACTTTGCAAATCCTAATACTTACGTCAGTGCTAGGTCACGTAAGAAAATGGACAATATCGGTCCACTCCATCAAGTACCTCCCCCACAAAATGTCAAAATTTTAAAAATTACAACTCTTATAAAATGTGATTTAAGAGTCCGATTGTCTTAAAGTTTCACACATCCCAATAATTTTATTAACCCAAGGTCTGGTGTTAAGATGGAATATATCGGTCCACTCCTTCTGGTATCTCCCCCACAAAAGGTCGAAATTTTTAATATTCATTAAGCTCAACGCGAAATTAACATCCGATTCCATTTAGACTTTGCACATCTGAATATTTCTATCATCACAGAGGTATGTTATAAAAACGGAGATCGGACCATTCCTTCTGGTACCTCCCAAATAAGCATCAGGTTCTCTTAATATTTCACACATCTCATTATTTCCACTAACAAAAGATCTGTTGTGAAGATGGGATATATCGGTCCACTCCTTCTGGTCCTCCACCACAAAGGCTCAACAATTTTGAATATTCGATTCCATTCAAGACTTGGTTCATCTCAATATTTCCATCAACACAAGATCTGTTATACAGATGGTAGTATCGGACCATTTCTTTGGTTAGCTGCCCACATAGGGTTCAAGATTTTGAAAAACAAAACGCTCAAAGAAAGCGAAATAAGCATTCAAATTTCAAATATACAAACATATTTTGCTAATACAAGATCTGTTGTGAAGATGGTAGCACTACCACAAAGGGTCACAATTTTCAATACTTTTATCTGTCATAACTTGCGAAACAAGTCAGCGAATCTTAACAACTTGCTATATCCAAATATATCTCTCTTTGCCAGAAACTTGAGATGAATATGGAATTATGATTTTCCATAAATTGGATATAAATGTTCGATTTTCTTGTAGTATTGCCCATATTATTTATATGTATTAGATGAAGCATGAAAATGGAATACCGATTATATCTTGTACGTCACGCACATGTTAACATTTTCTAACAATTATCATATATGTCAAGGAAGGAAGTTACCAATATAGTCCAAACCTGACACGTTGCAATATTAATATATTTATTCAGGTCCGATACGAAATGGCCAACATTAGCCCTTCTCCATAAGGGTTTAAACATTTGAATAATCATAACAGAAGTCACAATATTTTTAAATAATCGTACATTGGCTGAGTACGGCAAAACCAACCGATACTTTTTAACTTGTTTCATGGTAAATTAGCAAAGTTGATCTGAGTTTAATTATAAACTAATAATAAACCTAATTGAATCGATTAATGATTTACCAGAATTCGTGGTTTAGGCTTTTCCTCCTAATCAGAAACAATAAAATCGAATGGCTCCTCACTTAAAAGCAACGCATGAAAATAATATTGATTGCAATTCAAAGTAAAAATGTTTCTAGTTTTTTATAATAAACCTCACATACAATATTAAATATTTCTTATGTATTCGCATTTACCTTTGTGTTTGTCTATTTTATTTGATTTATTTTTATTGTAATTAAATTTTATTAATTCAAAATCAAAATTGTAATTATGAAAAGCACTGCACTTAGAACATAAATGATATTAAATGTTCTGTGGCACCACAACCATTTAAATGTAAAACCTCAACCAAACAAAAAATAAAAACAAAAATCAACAACAACAAACAAACCAATAACAACAGTAAAATGCTTTGGTAGTCGTTGAAATTCAAACAAAAATTAAAATGTACAAATCACAAGCAAATAAATTGAATTGAACTCTATTTCATAGTTTTTGCATTTAATTTTAACCAATTTGGTTTAGATACTAACATTTTTTTAAATTTTTTTCATTTGAATAAATAAAATCACAAAAAAATCAATCATCTTCAAACACATTTTACACATGACACACATTCAACACCTTACTCATAAAACAAACAAAAATATGTGTTACTTAATTTTTTAGGAGATATATAATAAGATGATTTCGATATTGTTAACATAACAATTGTTATATTGGACTAGGCATAGATTAAAATTTTCAAACAAACAGCAGTTTAAACTAACATTAAAAAGAAACACTTGTTATATTGGACTAGGCATAGATTAAAATTTTCAAACAAACAGCAGTTTAAACTAACATTAAAAAGAAACACTTGTTAAAAATAGAAAAGAAAGACAAATTTTGTTGTAAATCATATAACTAAATATATTATT